CACACACACAAACACTGATCATAATGTGGGCACAAAAACTAAACAGTATGTTTAAATCAAACAGTGCTTGTTAAAAAAAAATAAAAAATAATCGAACTGGTATTCACATGTATTCCAGTGAATACACCTACTTAATTTTTTTCTGAGCTGAAATTAACACAGTTTGCAAGTTCCATTTGTTAACAGTGGAAGCAAGTTTATTCAAAGGAGTGTCACTAAGAAAAAATGTTTTCTCAGGCACGGAAGAAATCCCTTTAAGAGCCACTTCTTTACAGAGTTTTCCCTTTAAAGCAAGTTATTAAAAAGCTATCTTATTCTGATTGAGTATAGTTTCACATTTAGAAGGTCTTCACACTGCAAATTTGAAAAATCAGACACTCATTTCTAGGTAATGCTAATGATTTTACTATCTACAGAGTAGGAAATTTTACTTTAAAAAATATGTGTGTTTGTAGGGAATTCAGTTACTGCCCATCCAGCTGTCAGAGACAGGATTTGTGCATGACAGAATTATGATACTTCTAAAGAACATCATAAGAACGCAGGGCACCTGGGTGGCTCAGTCGGTTAAGCGTCTGACTTCCCATCTCAGGTCATGATGCTCTTAGGTTCATGATTATTCCATTGGGTCAAAAGGCTCTGTGCTACCAGCTCGGAGCCTGGAGCCTGCTTCAGATCCTGTGTCTCCCTCTCTCTCTGCCCCTCCCCTGCTCATTCTCTCTCCCTCTCTCAAAAATAAATAATAAAGATTAAAAAAAAAATAAAAAAAAAAAAAGAACATCATAAGAACTTGGACCTCGTCAAAGTAGGGTGAAGTGAGACTCCCCTCTGTAGGACACAATAAAGCTGGAACAGAGGGCAGAGGATCTGCTACCCTCTGACCTCCACACAGAAAGATTGGAAGGGGTCCAAGAAATTCTCCTAATAGTCATTATTCTGCCCTCTCCCCCACTAAGCTGTTCCCAAAAAGAAACTTCTCTTCACCCGCAACATGTCAAAACCAGCAGAAGCAGAAGAAGGACACCCCACGGCAGCCCTCACAAGGCTGTGTGAGCATGTGGGAACGGAACCTTCCCTTCATGGCATCTGCTGAGCAAAAACATGTAGATTAAGTATAATCGGCAAGATGGAAATCAGCTTACATAGTAAGAGGAGGGCCAGGAATTTCTAAGGATGGGTTAAAACTATTTGAAATTTCCCCTAAGTGCCCTATATAAACCGTGCTAATACTGTGCATACAATTCTGAGCTCCATATGGGCGCCTGCAGCTACCTTAAACTACACAATGCCACAGCAACTGTGTGCACGGGCTGACAAATCTTAAACAATTTAAAGTGGAAAATTAAATGGAAATTTCCTCCCTGCTCTCTCCAGGGCCTATGGAACTTTAGAACAGGGATCCCAACCAGCCCATGACAAGCAGCTGCCAGGCCTTCCAAAGCAGGAAGCCAAGGTAGCTCACCTTCATCATTACCCATTCAGATCACTGTGTTCTTGAATATTTCACTCTGTTGAACACTTAAGATGCCTAAAGGCTGCTGTTCCCAGGCTACACCTTATAAAAACAGTCATGCTCCTCAGGTAGATAAAGCACACACGCCACCCCCAGCAATCACAAAACCACAACTGAGTCACAGATCCCTGCTCTGTGATGAGGCCATGAAACCTGCATACCCTGAATTAATTCAGAAGGCAGCACTCTGCCTCCTCTGGCCCCACCAATCCTGCCTCTTCAAAGAGGTGTGGCTAGTCTGCCTAGAGAGGAAATACTTGGCTTTTTTCCCCCTTCTCCTCCCTACCACACCCTCTCCTATATCCCTTGGCAACAGGTTCTAGTTCTGCAGGTCATGGAAGGAGAGTGAACAGAGGAACATTGTCCCCAGGAGTGCTTCCCTCTCAGCCGCCTACAGTCCTCACTCCCTGCAGAAGATCAGCTAAGGCAGTAAGAAGCACAATTTCCAAAGCTGGGGGTCTTCTGTGAAAAATGGATGTACACTGCCTGATGACTAACACTTCATCTCAATGGTCACCATTTTTCATGCAAAGCTGAGTTAAGGGAACGTGTCTGACTGGAGCCAAGGAATGAAGGACAGCCTCAGTGACATGAAACGTGTCATTTAACTTTAACGACAAGACAAACATTAAAAGATGTGACAATGCCAACTTGGAATGGGAATACTGCATAGCTTCTTTCAAAACCAATTAAACATTCCTTCCTTTGATGCAACTTGATAGTGGCAACAATTCTTCCTTAAATTCTCATTCCCAACACCATGCTAGGAGCCCAGTAGACAGCCGGAATAACATAAATAAGGACCGCTCTCCATCCATATGGAGACAAAAATAAACAACAAAACCAGAACAAGTAAATTAAAGGAAAATACTGAGGTGCTATGGAGAGCATATGATAGGAGGTCTAACCAGTCTGGGATTGGATAGAACTATACTTTTTCAAGTACTAATTAAGAGCCTTGGTATTCCTGCAGCTCAATTTCTCAATGACACGACAGAAAACAAAACCAGCAACTTTTCTTTCCACTCTTTACAACACTTTTAGGGGCACCTCAGTGGCTCAGGCAACAGAGTGTCCAACTCCTGATTTCAGCTCAAGTCATGATCTAACAGTCCTGGGATCGAGCCCTGTGTGTTGGGCTCTGCGTTGGGTGTGGAGACTGCTCGGGATTCTTTCTCTCCTTCTCTTTCTGCTCCCTCCCCTGCCCACATGTTCATGACCCCCTACCCCCAAAATAAAAAAACAAAAAATAGAACACTTTTAAAATTGCAGCACTGTATCTCAACAAAAGAGAGAGAGAGACAGAGAGCAGGAGGAATGAATAAATGAATGAAGGTCATTTTCTGTCACTGAAAAAGTTTCTGTCAAAACAAGAAACTGGCTTGGTTATAATTAGAGGCATGTAAGGCCAAAGGCAGATCATTTCATGAAAAGAGAAAGGCTATCCCAAAAAACTGTAGCACTGACCAACTCCTCTTCTGAAGGAAGGTAAACTATGGATGAGAGGACATTTCAGAAGGGTGAAGAATGCTGTAAAGGAAGTCAACTGGCTACCGCAGAATACCAGAGACCCATTAGTGATGGACAGCGCAGAGAGAGGGTGTGAGGACAGAAGTAACACTGGGGAAAATTAGTTGACCTAAACAGTAGGTGGGGAAGTGGAGTGAGGAGAGAACAGGAAATCAGTAGAATAAGCTCACTGGAAGGGCTTAAAACTGAGTGAAAGAATTTAAATTTGCTACAGAAACCTCAAGCCCCCATTTTATTTTTTATTTTTTTAATGTTTATTTATTTATTTTGACATAAAGAGAGAGAGAAAGAGAGGGAGGGGGAGAGGGGCAGAGAGAGGGAGAATCCCAAGCAGGCTCTGCATGGTGCATGGGAGCGCAGAGCCCAATGCAGGGCTCAAATTTGTGAGATCATGACGTGAGCCGAAACCAAGAGTCGGACGTTTAACGAACTGAGTCACGCAGGTGCCCCATCAAGCCACCATTTTAATGAAATGTCCAGAACTAATCAACAGAGACAGAAAGCAGACTACTGGACAAGTGAGGCTAGGGGTGTGGAGGAAATGCAGTGTGACTTCTAATGGCTACACGGTTCTTTTTGGGGTGAGAATGTTCTGAAATCAGATGGTGGTAATAGTTGCACGCCTTTGAGCAGACCTAAAACTGTTGAGTGGTCTAAATGGGTGAATGCTGTGACATGTGAGTGCATCTCAGTAAGACAATTAAAACTGCAGGAAATGAAAACCTACTGGAGAGCCTGAAACAAGTGAAGACTGAGGGCACGGGCTGCCATCCTTATGCAGAGGGCCCCTCAGAAAGCTGCAGTGAGGTCTACATCGGGGATCTCACAGGTCTTCTGGGGCAATCTCCAAAATATACAGTGCATGAACCTGCAACTTGGTTTTGCAAATTACACTTGAAAGAAATAGAAGGTGACTAAAGAAAATAAGGAGCTCAAATGTCATTCCCTTTAATTATATTCTAATGTGGAAGTAAGTGAGGTTCAGTCCACCTACTTAAAATGCAAAATACTCCTCAAAGACATGTGCGTAACTCAGAAAAAGGGAAGGAACTGAATGTTCAGTAGAGCTGAATATTGTTCAACAGCAGCACAATGCTGGAGCATAGGAGGGCCCGGACAATCCATCCAGTGGTCCCACATGTCTGTTATCTGAAAGGCACCAAGCTGGACACCTGAGACACACAGGTGTCCAACCCCAACTGCAAAAACATAAAGGCACACTTGTCTGGGGTAAGATGTAAAAACAAGGGCTCTTAAATTCCCAGTTGATTCTAATGTGCATCTGGGACTAGAATCTACTGAACTAATCAGAATCCTTACTTTTACAGAGAAGGAAAGAAGTGTGCAAAGAACTCAAATGTTATGCAAGTGATTATCCAGCTAAGCATCCTAAGAGTCAGTACTAGAATCTGTGTCTCCTGACCCACAGTTTAGGACACCCATACCTACTGTGTGGGTGTGTGGGGCACAGGATGGATATCCTTACAAAATTCTGGCCTCAAAACAAGCGGTCAGATACCATTAAAAGAAACTAAAGAACAAACGCCTGGAAATAAGTGAGGAAATAAATGACCTTGAGATTGAGGTAGGACGATGCCTCAATATGCAGGGATTTTATTGCCCTGGTGTATGTCTTCGTGGGATGAGATCCCCAACAAATGGAATTAATCGATGAAGAGGTAAAATTTTGTAACTTCACAGGCCAGATCTGATCTGGAAATTTTTTAACCAAATGAACCCAGTGTTATGAAAATAAATAAATAAACACCAAGGAATGTAAAAGCTGATGCTTTATCCTCTCGGCTGCACATGGAGCCAGCGCGGTCTGTGAAGAACAAGGCGGGCCCTGGCAGACTGACCTTCACAGACCACGCTAAAATCCTCTTAAGAAGTGCCCGGTGAATGCTCTGGCTGACGTACATGGAGCCATTACATTACCGAGTCGTGTGCTTCTTACCTATAATTCCACTGTCCTTGCTTTCCAGGGTGGAACTAGGGCTGCTAATGGTCTCACAGGGACTTTTGTTGGCTGCGGTCTTGCTGACACAGCTATTCAAGGTTGAGCAGGGGCTATCGGTGCTAGGAGATGCGGTGCTGCTTGTTAGTGTGGAGCAAGGACTGATGCCTTGGCTTAGAGCTGTGCACTGCAAGACGAACGGAAGGAGGAGTTAGCACGGCTTTACACAGGATGCTGCTACACAGTCTTTTGTTTCTGGTGCGACAGCGATAAAACTCAAAACAGGAACACGGAAAACAGCTTTTTAAAACTAGGGAGCTTAATATGTATGTGGTCTTCCAAATTTTAGAAGAGAAATATCCTTGTTCTGTCCCCCTCCCTTGTGATTTCTTTTTTTTTTTTTAATTAAAAGGGCAGTCTTAGAAATAATTTAGTGGGAATGCACATTCATAAAACAGAAATAGCAAGCAGGCAGACTTCCTTTCATTTAAAGTCTGCAGAAGACAAATGGGTTCTTTGACCTCTGTACGGAAAATCTGGGAACTCTGTTTTTGTAATGTTTCACGAGCACTGCAGCCTGATTCAATTCCTGAAGATTTATGGGCTCTGCGGTCAGGGCAAGGAGGCTGATGGCCACTGCAATCTCAATCAGTGTGTGATACCCTGGCAGAGACCCTCCCAGGGGGCAGAGGCTCTGGCCCCTCACGGCCATGCAGACATATACATCTCGAATGGGAAGCGGCAGGCTGCCATTCACTAGGATGCAGCGTGCTCTCCCATGCAGGAACCATTTGATCTCCTCTTATTTTGTCTCTGCCTCATCTCCTACAAATCTTTTCCTCACCCCGCTGACCCTCCAAAACCCCCACCACGAAAAAGCACAGGAAAGCACATCCCAAAGCAGCCAGCTGAGAAGAATGGTGTTATAAAGATAAAAGTAGTATCATGACTAGGAGATTCTTGCAGCCACTTAAATTCATTTAGCTACCCTTGCCTGGGTAGTGACCTGAAGGTTAATGTGGACATTTTCTTCAGTTCTGTGCCCTTCTGCCTCTCCCCACCTCCCCACTGCAGAAATCACAAACTGTCGAAGTAAACTTCAATACACAACAGCCCAGACTCATGGACTGAACAGGGACTTCCTCACTCAGGGAGGGGGAGAAGACGGTTATGCCTTCGTTCATCCTCTGAGCAGGTAGGACATGCAGGGTCTTCCTCAGGCATTACCATGGTTTCATTTTTTTCTTCAATGGTTATGTGTGTGGCACTTGGGATCCCTTCTCCCAGTAAAAATCCCAGCCTTGTCAACAGTTCTTGAGCTGCCGGCGAACAGCTCGGTTCATTATCGGCCTTTGCTTCTGGAACAAAGAGAGAAAACAATGAAGATGCCCCTCTGGGGAATTTCAGGTTTGCATCTGGAGGAGTCTGCGCTGCAGCTGCTTGTCTGGGGCTTTTGTGTATTTTTATAAAATGCACAAAGTTTGACAATGCTGCCTGTCCTCAAGCAATACATTCTAATTAAGAGGCTGTGACAGGTTAAGAAAACAGTAAAAGAGAAACTCCAAGTGCAAAGAGTGAAGTATTTGACCTGAATCAGAACACAGTGTGATTATAGGATAGCAATTCCTATTTCCAGGTCCTGTGAAAAAGGAATATATCAGACACTAAAGGCAGAAAGAGGCCTGCCCTTCATCTTAACTCTTTAAAAGCATAGGGTGGCCAACGCCCACAGGAGGCTGAAATAAAGTTAAACCCCAGTGGCATACTGGCAGAGACCTCGGCTACTTAAATGTTGGGGTACACCTGAAATCTCAGCTCTTATTAACCAAGACAGGGGCATTACTACTTTGGTGGAAATGTCCTGTGCATACCCCATTCCCACGACAGTCAAAAGTCAAAGCCAGGACTCCAACTCAAGGGTCAATTGTCAGGAATCCACTCTGAAACAAAGATTTTAAAACCCAGCAAAATGTGTCCCAGGGGACCAGGCCCAAGAATACACTCTGCTGTTCACATGGGGATGTAGAAAAATCAGGCTGTGTTCTCAGCACACTCCACAGTAATGCTGGAAGCACAGTTAACCTGAAGGTCACAGGGCAGGCTTAGAACCTGTCCTTCCTCTGGCCTCCCTGACCAGCTGGCCATCTTATTTTTCCCACTTAAACACATTCTGTTGTTGGGTTTAAATGTTGAGCTACAGGTTAACCTTGTATCCAAAGGCTTAAGGGAACTTAATTAAGGGTGACAAAATGATATTCACACCATTCTAACACCTTTCCTGTATTTTTAAATCAGCATCCATCAGGGCATTAAAAAAACAAAAAACATATAAAGCAAACTCTGCTTACAGATGTTAGAACTTAAAAAGCAATATGCAACCTGTAATACTCTCACTCAATGTTTTGTTCTTTTCTGTTAATTGTCTAGAGACTCAGACCTATACATTCATGAACGAATTTTTCCTAGACGTGGAAATCTGCAGGTGAGTCTTAGAAAGATAACATGAGGAAAGAACAAAACAGCAGTGTTACCTTTGAGCTACAATTCCACCACCAAAGTTCAATGCTAACTTTGCCTTCTTTAAGGAACCGCAAAAATCAAAACAAGTAGAGCTGAGAAGACCATCTGTATTATCCTCACTCACATATCAGTTTTGCTCAGTCATGCTCCCAGGATAGCAGCTACAAGGAAAACCAGGCTGGTCGTATCTTCAAGGAAGGAAAAGGATCCCACCCCTTGCTTACTCTCAAAACTCCCAATGTGTGTGGTAAGAATTGCTGTTTGCCAGCCTAGATGTTTTTTAGTTGCTCTAGAAAACCACAGGGGTAAAAGAACCAAGGCTGATTGTTCTGGGTTAAGAGTGCCCGCATGTTTCTGGATCATTTGTGTTAAACCTGTAACAGGAAGGGGCAGCGGCCACAAGCCAACGGAGTAAAAGAGCACCCCAGGGTGGGTCAACCACACCCAGAAGGCCACTCTACAAAAAGCCCCTTCCCACCAGAGATTTCCAACCACATTTCGATTCCCAAGGCACTTGGGCATTTGGGAAAAGGCGGCAGGAACTAAACCAAATCAGTAAAACCCAGGCACACCCAAGGGCTGAACCACTTCAGAACAGGATCAGAACACTTCAGAACAGCCTCGCCCCAAGGCTCAGACAGGGCAGCTATTTTATCTCAGGTGGCAGCTGGACCAAAGGGAGAGAACAGGATGCAGATGGAAAGGGAAAGAAGAGGGTAAGGGGCCAGAACTCAGCAGTTTTTCTACTACACGTCCCCCTTGCCTTTCAAAACAATCTCTATACGGCTACCAAATTGTGACTGTGCCCTTGAATGTCTGAATGTCTAGCTTCTGGTTCGACCTGAAACTCCAGGGAAAGTGCCAGAAACTACTCCCAGTTGGCAGCTGCTGTGGAGGCACAGAGAACAGCTGCACAGGCTTGGCTGCCACAAAATTTACCCTGACGACAAACAAGGCCACGGCCTATCGCTCACGTGGGGCTCCTTCCGAGACCCTGTAACCCATGTAGGTCCTTGGCAGGGGGGGTTACCCCCCGAGGAGTCAATGCTGCCTCCACACTGTGTCTGTAGACAGACACCCCAGACTGTCAAGGTTTTCATTAAAACATATGTATTTATGCAAAGACAATTAACTCCTCATCTAAACCTTGCCCACAAGCTGGGAGCTATGGCAATTCCAGGTTTAATGTCTAAATTGACAGGACACCTCCAAATTCATGAACAACTTGTTCTCCTAACCGTTCAAACTGGATTTGAATGCCCCTAAAGTTCTCAAACCTGACCTGGAGTCGGGATGAATAGATGTCCTTTATTTCAGGTTTAGCATCCAGTAAGCCATTGCAATTTCATTTCGTCCAAAAGCTTCCCAACTGTCTCTTCATATAATTCTCTCTTCTCAAATGTCATTCTAGTGACCTTCCCCTCAGAAGCCCTCTTCGGTCTGAATTCCTCAATCCATGTCAAGCCGTCTGCATTTTCCCCTCCCTAATGCACAGAGCTTTCTCTCTGGCTGAACTTTTCATTCTGGCAGAAGGACCCCTGGGTGAAGAGTGACGGTCCCATTTTGGGAGAGATGAGTTGCCTGGGAACTCACGCTGGTATACTAGACTGTGAAATTAAAATGAATTTCTACTTCTACAGCCGATCACCAAATACTGAGATCTGAACAGTAAGATAAGATGTTCTTGGAACTAACTCTTACTACAAAATTATCTCCAAACCAAAATCCAATGGGATACTCTAAATGGCAAGTATTTTCATTCATGTAGTTAATACTAAATCACTCATCAATAATAGGTGTACCTTACCCAAAACAAGTGGGATAAGTACTAGAGAGACATCATCTCTTAGCAACACTTTATATCTCACAGATTTAAATATCCAAGGAATTTATGATGGCTGCATTTGGAGTTGAAAGGATAATTGGCCTCATACTTCCTGGGACTCTATTAGACAAATGGGGAGTGATATTCCTTCCCAGTAATGTTTTCATGGAATCTTCAACAGGACACCATTATGAAATAACCAAGTGGAGGAAGGCAAAGAGAATTTTTCAGGTCACTTCTTGTCTCTTGTTAACTACCCACACCTTGTTGGACTACGTTTGGGACACCAACCTTCAGGTATGGTCCATAAATGGACCACCTTCCCAATTACCACCATCCTCACTTCAAATCCACTTGTGCCCCTTATAACCATCCCCTTATCCTTCCCTACAGTCTCAGAAGAAAGGACTTCTCCTGGCCAAAACTATTCTGGACCACTTACAGCGTGAACTTCTGTAACCCTCAATTTCTTCATGAGGGAAGTAGCCATAACCCACTTCTTATAGGTTGTGAGCTTAATAATAATAATAATAATAATAATAATAATAATAATAACAAAGAAGATGAAAAAAATGAGAAAATACCTTACACACCAAGCATCTTTGAAATAAGATGTGATATCAAAGTTGGTCATTATTTCTACCAATTTTAACACCAAGAGCCCACTTTCTCACTATTATTTCATTTTCTGGTGTCATGGATTCCTATCTATATTCAACGTGCTTGTATTTTTCTTACCTATTAAACATAGTTTTTTATGATTCTTCTGCCTTATTTAACTTTCTATGAACTCACTATTCCTTCATGACAACAAATTTCCTTCCTTTTTCTAATTATCAAACTGTTCCACGTTGGCCCACACTTAACTGCTTTCATTTTTATTTTTAAGTTTATTTCAGAGAGCGAGAGAGAGCGAGCACACGCATATACTTGTGTGTGAGCAGAGAGAGAATCCCAAGCGGACTCCACATTGTCAGCACAGAGCCTGACATGGGGCATGATCCCACAAACCACGAGATCATGACCTGAGCCAAAATCAATTTACAAAATTGAATTTACAAAAACAGTTATTTATAGAGGAGCATCTATCCGTGAACCTGAGCTGACTCTGTCAATAATTGGCTTCTAGTCCTTAATACAAAAACATAGTTATTGCACAAGTTGTCTTTAAGCACTCCACCTCATTCACCCCATATTAAAACTGTCACCAAATCTTACCACTTCCTCTTTCAAAATGTCTCCTGAATTAGCCTTTTTCTTTCCAGTCATACTGCCACTTATCAAGTCTTCATCCTCTCAAGTCTAGATAACTATCGGACTCTGGATCAATTTTCTCATCTTTTTAAAAAATTTTCACCGCCTTCTTTTCCTTCCTCACAGCCAGTGGTTCTCAAACTTTTTGTCACACTCTTAAAAACGAGGACTCCAAAGAGCTTTGGCATATATGAATTATTGATTTTTATCACATTAGAGATTAAAACTAAGAATTTTTAAGAATCAATGTTAATCCATTCTAAGTTAGTAAAACTTACATGTTAAACATTTTTAATAAAAAATATTTTGGGGGGGCGCCTGAGTGGCTCAGTCAGTGAAGCATCCAGCTTTGGTTCAGGTCATGATCTCGTGGTTGCTGAGTTCGAGCCCCACATAGGGCTCTGTGCTGACAGCTCAAGAGTCCAGAGCTTGCTTCAGAGTCAGTGTCTCCCTCTCTCTCTGACCCTCCCCTGCTTGTGCTCTCTCTTTCTCTCAAAAATAAATAAAAACATTTAAAAAAATGTTTTCCCAAAGATTTTAATCTCTACACTCAACGTGAGGCTCACACTTATAACCCCAAAATCAAGAGTCACATGTTCTACTGACCAAGACAGCCAGGCACCCCCAAAATATTTTCAAAGTCAAGAATGGCAGTGTTTTACACTTTTGCAAATTCTTTTTCATGTCTGATTTAACAGAAGACAGCTAGATTCTCACGTCTGCTTCTGCATTTAATCTGTTGTGATATGTTCTTTTGGG